TGGCCTAGCTCCAGTTGCACATCTCCTGCAACGGTTTCAATCTAAAGCAGGCCAGATTCTCACACCAGACACACAACCAAAAGAAGTCCACGCACTTAGGTGAAACTGCAAAAACAGAACATGAATGTACAAGACAGCAAGAATGTCTCCCTTCAAACCCACTAGTTGTGTAGAAGAGTTCTCTAATGGTAAATCCCTTAGATGAATCCCAGGCCACAGAATTTTAAAGAACAACCATAAACTTTACAAACAATTTAAGAAATTTAAAGACAATATCAACAAACACATCATTGTACGCCAAGAAAACTGTCAGAGTGATGTTCAAAACAATGCAAATATTCAGGAGAATGAAATGATGCCGAAGAAGAAAAAAGCTGAAGTGAAGATGGAAGTGAAAAACTCAATATCCCAGTTAGAAAACTCAGGGGAAAACTTTACAAGTAGAATGTAAATAATAGAGAGTGTCAGGACCTGAACATATAGTAAAGGATCTAGATGGAATAAATAAGCAAACAATATGGAAAAAAGAAACATTAATAAAGCTTAAATCACACATCAAACCTCACACATTAATAGTGGGAGACTTCAATATGCCACTCTCACCAATGAACAGATCATCAAGACAGAAACTAAATGGAAAAATAATGAATGAAGCTAACAGGCATCATAAATCAAAGGGACCTAACAGATATCTACAGAACATTTCACCGAAACACAAAGCACATTCTTCTCAGTACCTCACATAACCTTCTCCAAAATTGACCATATAATCATGGATTTTTTGTAATAATAAACAGATATACACCAAACGGTTGTATCTCTAGTTTCATAACAAGCATACTAAAGGAATTTAGAATACAGATTAACACAAACCAAACAATAGTAGTGATTTTACCACTCCATTTTCTCTAAAAGGTCATCTGGAAAAACCATTAAAAAAGAAAAAAAACCTCAGAAATAAAATGATACTTTACATCAAATGGACCTAACAGATATCTACAAAATATTCCACTCTAACACCAAAATATATGCATTCTACTCAGCAGAACATGGAAGTTTCTCTAAAAAAGACCACATGCTGGTACAAACACAGAAAAACTACAGTAACTGTATAAAACTCATGGAAACTAAACAACTTATTACTGAATTATGATTAGTCAAAGAACTCAATGCATAAATCAAAATAATCCTGAAATTAAATAACGATGAAAACACAACATACTAAAACATCTGAGACACAGTAAAGGCAGTCTTCACAGGGACATTTATAGGTCTACCTGGCTACATTAGAAAATCAGAAAGAGCACAAATAAATTATTTCATAACTCAGCTCAAAACCTTGGAAAAACATGAACAAACCAAACCCCAAATCACTAAATGACAGAAAACAATAAAAAAAGAAAGTGTGAATTAATGAAATAGAAACCAATAATTCAAAGAACAAACAAACAAATTTAAGAGCATTTTCTTCTAGAAGATAAACAAAAATGACAGACCCTTAGCCCAACTAACCACAAGACAGAAAAGGATGACCCAAATTAACAGAATCAGAACCAACAGGGAAGAATTACAAGGCATCAAAGTCAGAATATTGTAAAGAGAGGCTTTAAAGACCTGTACTTCATTAAAATGGAAATCTAAAAGAAATGAATGATTTTTTTTATTCATCCAAACTACTACAGAGCATCTTCAACAATAACAATGGGGAAACTGAATGTCCAAAAAGAAAAAAGAAAGGAAGGGAGGGAGGGAGGGAGGTAGAAAGGAAGGAGAGAAGGAAGGAAGGAAGGAAGGAAGGAAGGAAGGAAGGAAGGAAGGAAGGAAGGAGAGAAAGAAAGAAAAGAAAACTCCAAGAAGATCAAAGACCTAAATTTGAAACTAAAAATTCAAAAACTGCTAAACTCGGGGAGGGGAAGCACATAGGCGGTACCCTACAAGATATAGGTAGAGGAAAAAGACTTTCTGAGTAAGACTCCATTTGCCAAGAATGAAAGCCAAAATATGACAACTGGGACCTCATAAAACTAAAACTTGTCTGTTCAGCTAAGGAAGCAATCAAGTAAGTGAAGGAGAAACACACAGAATGGGAGAAAAAAATCTTGCCAGCTATATCTGAGGATTAATATCCAAAACATATAAAGAACTCAAAAACAAGGAGCCAAGATAAAGATGACCCAATGAAAAAATGAGCTAGCAATCTAAACCAAACAGTTCTAGATAGAAGAAATAAAAAATGGCTAAGAAATAGCTTTTAAAGGTGTTCATCATCCTTAGCAATTAGGGAAGTGAAAAGTAAAATAACTTGGAGATTTCATACGACCCTACTCAGAATGGCTGATATCAATATAATGCCTGACAACAAATGATGAAAAGCTTGTGGGCAAAGGGCAGTTCTCATTCACTGTTGAAAAAAAAAGGCAAATTTATGCAGCCACTCTGAAAACTAGTATGAAAAATGCTCAAAATATTACAATTGAATCTGACATGTGACACAGCTATACAACTCGTTGGCATATATATGCCCCAAAGACTAGACAACCTGCTCTGTTTGTTCAGCCATGTTCAGTGTTGCCCTATTCATAGTAACTATGAAATGAAAACAACCTAAATGTCCTTGAATAGATAAATGGAAAATGAACATGTGTAGTACGTATACACAATGAAATAAAATCCATTTGTAAAGAAAAGTGAAATCACAAAATTTGAAGGTAGAACATATTATATTGAATGAGTTATACCAGACCCAGAAAGACAAATGTCGTATGCGCTCTCTCATCTGCAGTTCCTAACTCAAAGTTTTCAGATGTGAGGATATAGCATGGAGTAAGCACAAAAAACTAGGAAAGTATATGGGATCACAAAGACAGTGGGAGGCTAGAGAGGGAAATAGCAGAAAACACATTTAGGGAGAAAGTAAAAAATGAGAAGAAGGCTCCAACTGGGAATGGGAGAGAGTTCAATACAGAAAGATTAGGAACAAGTAACACCAAGGTTATTTGATAAAAACTCAAATAATCATTTTATATTTACCTAAAAGTATTTACATATATATGAATACAAATTAGCTGTAAAGAAAAAATAAATCATGAAATTTTCAGGTAAATGGATGGACCTAGAAAGGATTGTTTTGAGAGAGATGTCCCAGACCTCTCAAATACCAAATGTTCTCTCAATCTACAGTTTCTAGCTCCAGTTAGAGATAAATAGAGAGATGGATGGATCACAGAAGATAGATAGATAGATAGATAGATAGATAGATAGATAGATAGATAGATAGATAGATATGATAGACATAGATTGATAAATTTATTTTTAGAAATGTATATATTTGCAGTTAAAATATAATTACATCATGTCTTCCTTTCCCTTTCCCTACTCTAATCCCTTCCATTTCTCTTCTCTCTGACCTCTCCCATATCCCACAACTATGTTCATAGAAGCTGTATTTGTAATAGCCAGAATCTGGAAACAACCTAAGATGTCACTCAACAGAGGAATGGATAGAGAAATTGTCACACATTTACACAATGGAATACTACTCAGCTATTAAAAACAAGGAAATCATGAAATTTGCAGGCAAATGGATGGAACTAGAAAAGCTCATCTTGAATGTGGTAACCCAGAAGCAGAAAGATAGGCATAGTATATACTCATGTATAAGTAGATATTAGCTATATAATATAGTATAGCCATACTAAAATCTACAGACCTAAAGAAGCTAAACAAGGAGCACCCTAGGGAGGATACTTAAATCTCATTCCGAATGGCCACCAGGATAGACAGCAGAAGTGGTGAAAGAGAGAAAAGAAAACAGAATGGGAGGGTCCTCTAAAAGACTCCACCTAACAGGGGATTGAAGCAGATACTGAGACTCACAGCCAAACTTTAGGCAGAGTACAGGGAGTCTTATAGAAGAAGAGGTGAATAGAAGAACGAAAGGAGACAAGAGCCCCACAAGAAGACCAACAAAGCTAAAAAACCTGAGCCCAGGGGGTTCTTCAAAGATTAATGTACCAACCACGGACTAGGCCCCCTGCTCAGAAGTAGCCAATTGGCAGCTCAGTCTCCCTGTGGGTTTCCCAAGTAAGGGTAGCAGGGGCTCCCTTCTGGCAAGAACTCAATTGCCTGCTCTTTGATCACTGCCCCCTGGTGGAGCGGCCTTCCCAGACCACAGAGGAAGAGGATCCAGGCAGTCCTGACAAGCTATGAGTAGGTAGCAGAGGAGAACTCCCCCTTTCAGTGGACTAGAGGAAGGGGATTAGTGGAGAAGAGGGAGGTGGGAGGGACTGGGAGGAATTGAGAATTGAGAGAGGGGACTTCAATCGGGATATATAATGAATAAATTGTAAAAGAGAGAGAGAGAAGAAGAAAAAAAAAGAAAGAAAAGAAATTTATTAAAGATTTTAATTTCTAGAAAAAGAACTGTAGGTGCAACTTAGCAGTGATTGATATACTCTTTTTTCCGTGAGAATTTGGAAAATTCTGTCTTATAGAATACTTAGAAATGTCAATGAAGATTTTGAGGAGACTAGAGCCAACTCTCTGAAATAAAATAAAATACTGGAAGATTGTACTGGAGACTTTGCAATCATGCTTTTTATTCACTCACCACTTACATTAAAAAAAATTAGTTTAAGGTTACATTTATTCAATGAAATATTCAAAATATTACATATATATATATTGTAATTGACAATATTTTTAAAGACACATTTCTTGTCCTGATTATATTTCTGATATATTCATGAAAAAAAATCATAGATAACAAGAAATTATATAAGTTTAAAATAAAACTACACAAAACTTTAATTACTTAGAAAATGAGTAACAAAGCAATGAAGAAAGTCAAATCATTTTTATCCAAGACTATGTTTTCCAGGGTATTCTCATTTTAAAAGAGTAAGAAATTCTTAGAGAGAATCTACCCTAAATTCTATCCCAGAACTGCATCTTTTTTGGAGAAAACATATTGACAGGTAATAATAATGCTAATAGTGAAACTATATATTACCTTGCTCATTATTGTTTTCAATATCTACTACATTTAATTGATATTCTTCTTCCCAGATTAAAAGAATTTCACCTTCCAAAATATAATGTACTTCTAATTTATTTCTGTTCTTTATATTTAAGGATTTCTCAACTTGGCAAATATCTAACAAGTAAACTTGACCAAACAGTTCAAGGGGGAACTGACAACTGGTATTTTCTCTTTCTACTTGGCTGGGAGTTTTTCTTGAGTTCTGCAATCTGTTGATTATGTTGTTATTCTCATCAACACTTTTCAAGTTATCTGTCCTCTTGCTATGGTTTATTGTAATAGAATTCACATCCCCCACAACTAACAATGGTGAATGCAAAAGATCTGAAAACCTTTTCTTTAAATGTAATTGGAATTTCTTCAAACTAATAGCTTCCTCAAAAGGCTTACCATGTTTGTGTTTCATTCTTTTATCCATCGAGTCAATCATGTTTTTAAAATAAAGTTGATCAAACAGATCACCAATGGCCTTATCAGTAAATTCTTGGCCTGCACTCACTTTGTTGCTTTCACTTTTGAACAAGTTTTTGTTTGACTGTAGCAGAAATGGGTACATTTTCATCCATAAATGAAAACCCAAAGAATTTTCAATATCAGAATCTTTGCGGTAAGCAAAACCTCGGTCTTCCTCATTAACAGGCTGAATAATAACAGTTAGTATTGGACAATGTTGACCACAAAGAGCATACAGTTTATCCAAAGAGTCACCTTCCTGGAGTGCACCATGAGTTATATTAGTTCCAGGTAATGGCTGAGTTTTAATAGCACCATCATCCACAGGGTGGACTTTATGACCAGCAGGAGCAAAGGCTTGAGTAACAGATGTGCATATTCTTTCAGATGGGTAATTACTCTTCTCTTCTTTGGGATGATTGGGTATTCTCTCTTTGGAGCAGGTTTTATTCTGCATATCTAGAAAATCTTCACCAAAAGGCTCAGAGTCACTGCCATGAGGAAAGTTAAAATAATTGCATTTCACTTCAAGGGGTTGAGTCATTTCCTCCACTTCTGAAGAGGACAATTCAGCCATTGTTGGACCAGGAGCCAAATCTCCAAAATGTGAATATGGCACCTCAATGCTGTTCTTATCAGTTAGAGTATCCAATGATGTGGTGTCTGCATTGCCGTACATGCCAGGATTGTCAGACGACACCCGCCACAAATGATTTTCTCGCAGGAGCCATTTGCCATTGTCAATCAGTTTCCCTTTCTCTTTTTCCACAAAGACCTTCTCATGCTCAATTGGTTTTATAACCTTTTCTATGCTGTTGGCCCCCAAACTGTCTCCTGTACCATTAACATCCACTTCACCTTGTCTTTCCTCCTGGAATTCCTGCAACATGAGTGAACGTCTAGATACTTCTTCAGAAGAGACCAATGACTGGCATTCAGAATCATAAAAATTTGTTTTCTTAGCACCTTGAACTTCCACAGGATTATAAGGACAAACTTGAGATTTATGAATAGACCCATGAAAAAATGGTGGTTTGATAACCTCTGCTTTGCCATAAAGCTTTTCTATTGCCCTTTTAACAATTCCTTTATTGTACTCTTTCTCTTGGGCAATGCCATCACTGTCATTGTGATCACCACTGGATGCTTTACAAGGATGTCCACTCTCACTGTCTGTTCTATAATCTGACCAGTCTGAAGTCACCGGACTTCTGTGATGTTTCTTAAAATTAAGAGAGGACTGTGTGTGACTTACATTTTCCATGCTTTCTACCATCATTTTAACTCTCATTTTCCTTTCCCCTACACTGATCTCTTTTTCTGTATTTTTATTGGAATAGTAGCAAAAAACTAAAGATGGTGGTGTCACCAGCTCCCTGCCAGTTGTCTCTAAAATCACACTATTTCTTCTTTCCTCTTCTATAATATTCCTATCTGATGTGTTCATCAATCCCAAAGTCATCTCAGCCTCTAACTCTTTTTGCATTGATTCCTCAGTAGCTTTTTCTCTAGCACTTGCCTTTATATTAAAGATATCTGTGTCTTGGCTTTCTAATTCTTCAAAAGATTCTAATTCTGAGGTGTTATTTCTTTCACTTGATGTCACACTATTGGTTATTGACCCTGGTTCTTCAGAAGTCCTTGATTCTTCCTTATCAAGAGATATATATTTCTTTTTATTCACAATTTTCTTAAGTGAGCAATCTTTAAATTCATCTAGAGGACTATAGTCCTTATCAAATTCTGGGTCTGTTTTACTTAGGAAAAGATCACGGGAGCTTAAGTTAATGACATTTTGAGATGATATTGATACATTAGAGTCATTTTCATACACAGGGTCTGTCAAAATAGTTAGATCTTTTGGAACTTTATCAACTCTTTTGAGTTCTTCAGTTAATTCCAAATCATCAGTGCATTTGTGTTCTTTCAAATCCACAGAGTCAATCGTTTTGCGGTCTCTGACGGGAATTTGAGTCTCATCACTTGGGCAAGCTGCCTCATAGATGTTGTTCTCCTTCTGAGCACAAGCCTTATGGGAACACACACCATTTGTATGTAAACAGGCCTCTCCTAGGAAAGAAGCATCCTTTGTGGAGCACTGACTCACAGTAGAACTATTACTGGTGACAAAGGCATCACTCAGATTACCTGTCCGTTTTGGAGGATAGTTCACATTCCCAGTGCACATCTCATGTGGAGAGTTATGTGACTTGCTAACCATTTCTGAAACACACAACTCAGGGCCACAGTCCTCCCTGATGGAGTAGCCTTCGTCCAAGATGGTCGTTTGTGTGCTTTCATTGTCATTACACATGACAGCATTCTGAATGCTAGCTGCTGTACAACTTGCTGGTACTGTACCTTGTTCTCTCCCACTGGGCCCACTGTAATTTTTGGTTGATTCCACTAAGTTGGCAACAGCAGCCTTCAAGTCATCAGCTTCCTCTGTGATGGCAATGTGCTTCAGAACTTCCAACAGAGCAACTGTTTCTGAAGATCTGCTGGTGATCATATGACCATCACTTTGACAGAAGCTGTTCATATTTCCCTTTAGGTTTAGTACCAAAAGCCAAGCTAGAAGGAGATTAGTGGATGATTTATATATTGCAGAAGGGAAGACAACGTCTGCTAATGAACCTGGCATTTGAGCAGTTCCATTCTGATTTTTCTGATTATTAGAAACAAAAGCTTCCAGGTGCTGAAGCAACAGGGCTGGTAAGTAGTCTTTTGGAGCATTCTCTCCCATGGTGTCTACCTGAATGGCAACTTCAATACTTTGCCTTTTTGTAGCTAGATTCATTTCTTGGTAAACAAAACTCTTTTCTGATCTTGACTTTTCAGTACATAAATTACTTTTAGTGCTATGATCGTTAATAGTTGTCTGTGACAAAGTACAATGGTCATGCAGACTAACCAAGTAAGAATCATTCACAGACCCATCCTGGCTCTCACAGAGATGTTTATTAAGCTGTTCACCATTATCTTTAGCAACAAGAGATTTACCTGCCTCTTGATTCTTATTACCTATCCAACTGGCACTTTTGGTTTTGTGCCTATTACTTTCCATAACAGAACTAGTTCCTTTTGAAGAAGTTGTATGGAGATTATGTCCTGGAAAGCTATCACTGGTATAATTTGCCACATTACTTCTGTCTTGGCATAGTGGAGATGACTTTCCATGCTCAAAATCTGGATATGGATTTATGCTCTGCAACCATCTCTGCACATAGCTCTTAACTGAATGGTGGGGGATACCCTCAGGAAAATCAGGTTTTCTCAAAGCTAATGAATCTGCCCTGGTTGTATCATGCTGATCACTTACTGTAGCACCTGATGTCAATTTATTTCTCTTTTGTTTTTTCTGGTTTTTTAAAGATACATGTAAATCATTAACGTTTGGTACTAAACTCTTTTTCGTCATTCCTCTTAAATTTCCAGTTACTAACTCCATTTGTGACGGTGATCTCTGCAAAACTTTCTGGTTTTCTTCAAGGATATTAAACACATGAAGTAAACTTTGATTTTCCAAATTATTTTTACGAAGTTTAGATTCACTGTGGAGAAATACTTTATCTCCTTGACCAGTTTCTTGTTTTCTAACTCCTCCTACACTTATAATATTTAATGGTCTGGATTTTCTTTTGGCTAAAAGTTTTTGAGTCTTTAGATTTTTAGAAATATTTAATTTATTTTTATGGAAATTTTTGGAAATTTTGAAACTACTTTTGGAAAAAAACTTATTTGATTCAGTTATCACATCACCTGTATTAAGGCCTTCCTCGCACACTCTACCTTCTTTAAGAGGACAGTCTGAATCTTGCAACACTATTTCTTGTGCAGTTACTCCTGCTCTGTTTATTTTTCCAACTTTATTAGAGGTCCCTTTGGTTTCAGTCACTTTTTTCTTATACTTGGAATTTACCATTTGCTGCTGTGATTTCTTCTTTTTGCTGACAAAAGAGGACGAAGCCTGCTTTCCACTTTTTGGAAGTTCTGTTAAACCAGAAGGAGCAAATCCATTAACAAGCCTGTCCACTCTTGTGGTATGGGTAGAAGATCCTATAGATGGAACCTCAGAAATACATTTGTCATTTTGAGAATTGGTACCTGAAGAAAGAGTTGTATCTGCTGAAATGGAATTGAACATGTCATTGGTATTGCCATAAGTTCTGAAGTGCTTGATACCAGCTTTGTCTGACACCACTCTATCATCTATGCCTTCCTCCACGAGTGAGTTCTCTGACACAGTTACTGGTAAACCGTTGCTATGGCACATCTTTAAGACCTGTTGACTTTTAATTTCTACAGCACCCCCATTTATGGCATTTGATTTGAGCAGCCCACTTTCCTTTGTTCTTTCTAATGCTGACTCCATCTCATCATTGCTACTGATCTGAACAAGTTTATTAGATACTGAGGACATTTTACTGCAAGAATGTGTAAACATGTGATATTCAGACTTTTCTCCACCCTCTCTCTCTTCACTATAGGAAAACTGTTTTTCTTGAACCTCTGTTTCTGATACTACAGTGACAGTACCTATCACAGATTTCTTTTGTCTCGTTCTCGTTCTCCTTGGTCCTGGGGTTGGAGGCCTATAAAAACGTTTTACTTGTTTCTGGCTTCCCTGAGTAATGTCTGTTTCCACAGAAGCATTCTCCCAACCAGCAGAGCTACACAACTTAGCCTGCTGCTCTGCCATTTGAGTGTTTTCTTCCTCTGTCAAACTGCCCTGCTGGGTAATGTCTGTGACGTCCTCAGACAATGAACACGCTGCAAGCTTTAAACTAGGTGATCGATCATCTGGTTTTCCTGGATAACTATTTATCCTACTCTTGTCGTCATTAGTAGAAAGACTGGCTCTGTTGACAGTGGTCGTCCACTTAACGGTTTCTTCTTCTTTTATCTTGAATCGAACTTTCATCACAACTGTCATAGTACCATCTTGGTTAAAAATAATCGACTTCTCAACACCATCTTCAGAAGGATATGTCGACAGTGTCTGAGAATCACATTTTTCTAAGGCCAGGAAGTTCTCGGGAGCTACAGAACAGTCTGAACTACAATCGTATGTTTTCTCAGAAGCCAGGGAATCAGTCTGGGGCCTTAGGACTGGATGGATATGTGTGCTCACTTTCAAGATTTTAAGAGTAAAAGGTACCACATCAAAACACCAGGAAGAAAGCAGAGAAGTTGTAAATATCCCAAGGAAGAAGCAGTAAAGAAAGAAGAAGAGGAAAAGTTAGTACAAAATGCCATTTTTCTGTTTACAATAAAAATGTTAGAGTTATTTCTAAACTGTATGTAGTAAATGGTTTACTCGAAAAAATTTTACTGAACTTTGTTTTTTCCAAGCTACTATTAAAAAGTAAACTAACCATACTTTAATGAGATATTTACACAATTTTAATTTTAACAACTTTGTGTTAATAAGAATGTTAATAAGAAATATATAAAGTACAAATTCCTAATGATTATGTTGAATAAAAATATTTTGTGTGGTTTTGTTTCATTTGTTTACCAATACTAAAATTGGAATCCAAGAAATTTCTGCATATTTATGTAAGAAAGGGAGGCAAACAGCCATTTATGGTAGTGTTCCATCTGTACATAAGAGACCACAGAAGCTTTATGAAAGCAGAAACATCTTTAGTATTTGATTGATCAAATAATATTTAACTTTATTTGTGTAGTCAGTGCAGTTGATTTAATATACACATAAAGAAACAGCTGAGTTAGACATGGTCATGTGCTCCTTTTTGTGTGAGGTTTCTGTCATTAACCCTGGCAGTTGTGCTTGTTAATATAACAGATTTCCTCCAAGGAATCCTTATAGACTTGTATATAGTAATTGCATTTGTTTTCAGAGCTAAACCTAAAAATATTTTTACAATTTTTGATAAATAAAAACGTCTCTTTCTTAACTTTTTGAAGCAAAACTTAATTAACAAAGCTCTCACAGCCCGAAAAAAAGAAAAAATAAGCATCTGATAAGAGACACAAAAAGAGCGAACCACTTCAGAAAAAAAATGACCAAGGTAAAACAGTACTACTATATGCAAAATACATATTTGGTAGTTAATACCTACAAAATTAGGTACACTGACAAGTAAGATTGAAATAATAGATGAAAGCAATAATTATTTCAGCCATATTAGCAATAAGAACAGGGATTACTATCTCTTAAAATAAAGAGTATTCCAAGTTTAAAGAGAATGAAAATTCAAATTAAAGTATAAGTGGCAACCAGCACACTGCCATAGTTTACATGTCCTTGGAAATATGGGCACAGTGAATATGGGCACAGAGAGGTTAGCCTCTCTCACGCTTTTGGGCCTCAAGACATCTCTTTCTTCCCTATGGTAAGAATAATACCACACTGTTAAACAAATCTTAAACCTTCCGCAATTTAGGTTATTATTGCTAGCATGAGCTGGCTGCATAAGCCACTTTGATCAAAAAGTGTTTCTGAGAATTGATAATTTCACAGGAATACCTTCCAAGGGGAGGACATATAACTAGATTTTTTTTTTTTTTTTTTTTAGAGAGAGAGAAAGAGAGAAAGGCCACCGATTTGCTGTGGTCAGCTATGAATACTCATTCAGACAAACATCTACAACTACCAGAGTTGTCAAATTCAATTCCGTAAAACTCTTTCCAAAGCAAGAAATTCTGACACTTTGTTTTATTAAAAATAAAAAGTATACTTCATCCATTTAAAAATGTGTATCATTGATTCTTTTGGAAAAGTCTTTCAAAAAATCACCAGATAACTTCTGTGACTGTTTCCAACTATAAATTAGCCAATTTCATTTTGGGATACTTTCAATCCTCACACATTTTGTCTTTTCAGATGAATGAGCCTGGTCCTTTAAATATAAATTTTATTGTTGTGCCAAAAAAAAAAAAAAAAAAAAGGTTTCAGCTCTAAAAATAAGGTTAATTTATAAGGTACTTACTCTTTCTTTTTTCTAAGATAGCTTTTCCCTTCCGGTGCACGCGCTGAGAGATCCCTGGTAACCTGGCAGGAAGCAAGTACTTTTGGATGTCGTAATTTCCTGGTTTAAATGGCTCCCTTCCGGCTGCCACCACAGCCCCAGAGCTCAGTATCACTGCCTGGAGACTAGGAACCTGGAAGAAATCAGAGTCGCAGTCCTCACATGAGCAAGTACTGTCATTTCCACATGGCATATTTATAACTTATAGCTCAACTTGACAGCTTCCCAGAATTGAAAGGAAAAACATCCCCAAGCGGTTTTGTTTGTTTGTTTTAGTTGCCAGTCGTGTACACAGAATAATCTAGGCAGGTTGGGGGGATGGGCGTAAACAGACCAGTGACGCTCCTGAGCCTGTGTAGTAGTTAGAAAATGACGGGCTAATTTTCTGAGAGATCTCAAGGAATCTTTAAAAGCTGTGTGGTGTTTCTGACCAAAGCCTACAGCTAGAGCCAAGTGCCTGCCAATCCAGCGCCTACCAGGAAAGGGCTTGGTGGAAGAGCAAGCGCGTCTGGAAGATGATCTCTTATGCATGTGCTGTTAGCGGCAGGCCCCGCAGACCCGCCACAGGGACACTAGAAGGATTTTTCTAGATAGGAAAACGCTATTCTTGGCCACTCCCTTCCAAGAAAAAGTCCACAAATGGCATTCTTTAACAAAACATGTGTAAGTCGGTACTCAGCGATAACAGAGAGGGAGAATACCCATCCCTTCCAACCCAATGGCCTGTCAGATTCTGACAAGAAGAAAAAGACTACTAAAATACACGTACATGCACATGTACACGCACACACAAACACACACACACACACACGGGAGATGGCTTAAAGCCACCAGAACACTCACTTTTCTTCCATCTGTGGCATACAGCTTAGCCACCGGACACTGCATGACCTGCGTCAGGTGCTGCAGAAAGGCCTGGAAGCTCTGAGTGACCCTCCGGCTGAGGAGGACCACACGCTTGGTCTTCGGGTCACCGTTCCGGAAGACCACGAGCCTCCTTGGGGCGCGAAGCATGCCGGGAGCAGTGGTGGCCACGGTCGTAGTAGCCGAGCGGAGGTGCACAAGTGTGCTCACAGAGCGGCTGCCGAGCCAGGGCCTGGGGCGCCTGCGGGCCTTGTCCAGGTCAACCGGCTGCACCTTCCTGTTGTGGGAGCACAGGTAAGACTCGCCGTCCTCCAGCTCCTCCAGCCTGGTGATGCTGTGCCTTCCGCGGGGCGTGCTGATGTTCCTCACCCCGAAGGGTAGGGGCACCTTCCTGGATAAATTGTCCAGCAGAGCGTCAAACGTCTTAAAGGAACGAGGGTTGACCACCACCCTTACACCGCCAAACTGGGGGTCTCCGCTCTTGTAGAAGCTGATGCGTTTAGCCACTACGGGATGAGTGACATTTGAGTGGCGAGGGGAAGGAACTTGACCTTCCGAGGAAGTCAGATGAGCCATGGAGAAACTAGTAGGCGTCTCACTCATTTTGGATGAGACCTAAAGAGGGGGAAAGCGGCTTATTTCCACAATGTTCCGTATCACTGTGACTATATGATAGTGCTAACACTTGCTCATTACTGCCGGAGACATTTAGAATAGTCCTAAGATTATATTTATTAAACAGATTGCCAAATTTGAAAGACAGTCTTAAGAGACTACCAAAATAAGTAAAACCAGGAGATTTAGTTCAATGGTAGAGCAGCTGGCCGAATTCAAGGCCCTGAGTTGGATCCTCAACTGGGGCTGGGGAGGAGAATAGGGATATTTAGGACAAAAATTTAGAATAGCATATTGACACTTAAAAAGATGAAGGTAGATACATGATAGTATATACATCAATACAGCAAAACCCTATGCAACTGAGGCATCTATATTTTTGTCATAGAAAGATAATCATGGAATATAATTGAATGACGACCTTATTATCTCGTTATTATGAATGACACAGATTTGAATGTGTGAGGTAGAATAAGGTAGAAACAGTTTATTAGATATCGGTTTATTTAGTGATTCACTTAAGGCTCTGCCTGTGCTGCCTGCTTGTCAAGCCTAACGTCACTCGCTGTGTGGAACAAAATGACCTGAAGGTCATTCTGCTGGAGCCGTTGCCCTTAACAACTAACTGCTAACTGCTGTGTAGGCTTCTGTAGGAACTTGCTTGCTTGCCCCCTCTCCCCCCGCCTTTTGGTTTTAGAGTGTAAAAGCATACAAACCAGACTAGGGATCAAAGCCTTTCTGGAGCTGTCCCTGCCTTTGGTCTAGCATTGACATCTCCCCTCTTCTACTCTGATTGGTAGAGAGTGCTTATTCCAGAAAGATCCCCACATTTCTGAAGCCTCCCAGGAAGATATCCTTCACCATGACCCGGTTAGTTCAGCTGCTGCTCTGGGACCTCGCAGCCCACTGAAGCCTCCGGAACTGAGAACTGCACATCCCAGATGGGATTCCAGGGTACTCTGCCAGTGGCCAAAGGGACTGTGAGACCCAGAATTGGAGTCTCAGAATGTAAGAAGATGAGACTGGCCAGGGACATCCAGACCAGATAAGAACCCCCAGAGAGATAGGCTAGGACTTCCAGGTAAGAACCCCCGGGAAATGGGCAGGAAGTGCCAGTGTACACTGGTTCACCTGCAGGAGACTGCATCTGAAGCCTTGACGTGATTGCTGAGGTTGCACTGATCTCCAAGGAAAAGGTAGTAGATTGGTCTCCTGTGAAACAGACTAGGAATTTGCTGTATAACTCCTAGATGAATGATGGGTGAGTGTGCAGATGCCTGTGGTGGTCCCACAGCTTTGTGGCCATGACATCTGACTGGGACCCAACCAGGGGTTCTGCTGAGGTTTCTTTATTTAAATGGACAATCACCTTTCTGTAAAAGAAGGTAACTGAGCCCGGGGACAGACTGAATGCTAAGGTAAGACCTCTAAAGTCACTGTAAGGTTGGCACCTGCTTGAAGGAGAATCCTGTCTTCTTGGCCTTGGCCCCTATGAACCACAGGGGGCTAGGCACATACAAACTCCACCATCTCTTGCTTATGGAACAGTTCTCCTCATGGGGTCTGCACCATCCCAATGTGAGACTCACAGTCTCACAGACTGTCAAGCCTGAAGACCCAAGGAAGCACCCCCATCAGCTTCCCCAGAGGATGAAATCTTGCACGTGATGCAACCTTCCGGCTGGCTCCAACTTCCAGTGCTACACAGAGCCAAGGCAGTCTCAAAACCGCCTGGTATTGCCCTTTCAGTGGAGTCCACCCTGATGCCGTGCTCACCAACCTCCACCAGCCTGCCAGCTCCTCCAAACTCCTGTTCCGATGTGTCAACTAAATGAAATGCGCAGTCCTCCCTTCATCCATTACACCTCAGAAGAGATGATCACCCTCCCAGTGTTCCCAGAGTTCCCTTGTGTAAGTCAGAAGAAAGAAAAAGAGCAACTGCTGAGGGGACTGTTGAAAATCAGGAGGGTTGGCTGATTACCACAGACAGGAAAATAATTCCAGCGATGACAGCTCCCAGCTTAGTCCAGCAAGCCATGAAGCAGCCCATCTGGGAGAACTGCCCTACAAGAACTGTTGCAAAGGTATTTGGTGGGCTGAACTTGCCAACACTGACCAAACAAGCTAGCAAAGCCTGTGTGCAGTATGCTTGGAACACTCCCAAGCAGTGACGCAAGCCCCCCTTGCTGACACAAAATCAGGGACCCTGCCCAGCTGGCCATTAGAAGTGGAATTTAGAGACAGTCGGTCCAGCAAAGGTTGCTGATTCTTGCTGGTTACATAATGGATTTTCTTTTTTCAGGCTACATATTAAGCAATTGAGCAACATCCTCAGCTGAATTTTTTTAAATGTTACCTAACTTTGTAAATCTTTAAAATTAAAATAAAAAGAACATAAGATTTCAAAAAACAAAAAACGCAAGAGAGACACAAACCAGAGGTCCTCCAATGAGAAAAGTTAGTTTGATAATTCATCAATATAATTCTTCATGGCCTAACAATGAGATGGGGGGGAGGGGACAGAGGAAAAGACTTTTCAGGTTGACATTCAACTGTAAGGGAATGAGTATCATTAAGTAAAGACTGTGTTAAAGAAATCTGTAATGGGTATATCTAGAGGAATATGTATCATTAAGTAAAGAATGTATCTGTAATGAGCATAGCTAGAGAGATATGTGTCATTAAGAATGTATCATAAAGATCTGTAATGAGCATATCTAGAGGGATAGGTATCATTAAGCAAACAGTATATCATGGAGACCAGTAATGAATATCTTAAAACAGAATCAAACACTTCCTCTGCAGATTGGAGGAAATGTAGATAAATCATCCATCATAATGTTGAGAGCTGTTCACTGAATAAGTGACAGAATTACTAGGAACTGACCAAAATGGTGTCATCTAACTGCTGCATGCACCACCTGTTCTAAAGCAAAACAGCAAAGGGGAATTAAAGAAATGCTACCCACCCCCACCTCTCAAAACAGTTTCTCTGTGTAGCCCTAGCCCCCGGCTGTGCTGGACTCCCTTTATAGACGAGGCTGACCTCGAACTCATAGAGATCCACTTGCCTCTGCCTCCTGAGTGCTGGGATTAAAGCACCATGCCAGCTAAAGAAAAGAGTTTTAGTAAGCCATAGATAGAGGTGTTTCTTAAGGTCAGAATCTGAGTGACAATGTTAGAAGCTGTAGAAAGGCTTTATCTAGCTGTAGGTCTTCCTTTATAATACACTGTGGCTGTTTCTGTTGTCTTTAATCATTTTAACTGTTAGGGCTTTTAAAAGCATAAGAAAGCTCGGCAGCCTTGAAGACAAATTGAGTGAAAGAAATATGATTGGTAGTGTAGAGATAGCAGAGCCATGTTTGTACTGTAAATCTGGCCCAAATCACCTACATAAATATTTGCAAGCTATGCTTCTCCCCAACTGACTTGCAAATCTTGATGTGCAATTCAGAAGAGAAAAAAAAAAACAAAAAAACATTGTGATCAACCTAAAAATGAGTTGTTCTCCCCCTCTCACTTCCCTGGAGATTTAAAGTGATTACAGTTTTTAAGATAATAAAGGTGGCTAGCAGGCAAGTGCGTGAGCAGCAGGGAAATCCAGCTTTTCAAGAGAGTCAGCAAAACTGAAACCTCCTCTCATCCTCTGATAATCACTGACCTGACCTTGGGCAGCATACTTAATCTCTTTTCCCTCTTTAGCTATAAGAAGGTAAGAAGCTGATTCACCAGGGTCTGAGTACAAGTGGACAGGAAGAATGACTCCTGTCTGTTCTGTTCACTGTGACTAAGTTAATTGGATATTTCAGCTAGTTATCAGAGATGTTGTATCTTCCCAACAAAAAGAAAGGGTTACTATGTTCATAGCAGCTTTATTCATAATAGACAGAAACTGGAAACAACATAGTTGTCATTCTAACAAAGAACAGATAAAGAAAACATACATTTACACAATAGAATACTGCTCAGCTCTTAAAAATGAGGAAATCATGAAATTTGCAGGCAAATAGATGCAACTAGAAAATATTACCCTAAGTGAGGTAACCCAGACCTAAAAAGACACACATGGCATATACTTGCTTATAAATGGATATTAGCCATATAATACAGGTTAACCATAACTATAGATTGTAGAAAAATCCATAGACCCAAAGAATCTAAGTAGCAAGAAGGACCCAAGGGAATATGCTTGAGTCTCCCCTCAGAAGGGGAAATAGACATCCAAAGTAGATGAGGAGAGAGAGCTGGGTGGGGGAGGAGGTAGGAAGAAGAATGAGGCTGAGGATCAGGTAGGGGTAGAGCAGGAGTGGGAGGTGAGAAGCATTGGCAGGAAGAAGGGAAAGCAGTAGGGGAACATCTCTGTGACAAGCTGGAGGCCTGTGACAGGGTACACTCCTGGAAGACTATAGGGTGACTTTAGCTGAGACTCCTAGCAGCAGGGGATGTGGAGAGCGATGTGGCCACCTTTTATACCCAGGCAGGACTTCCAGTGGAGGGAGTAGGACACCACCCCCCACACACACACACACACACACAGAATGTTCAATGCAAACTTCCAACAAGGGATGAAGATGGAGCAGAAATTGAGGGAAGGACCAAACAATGCTGGCACAACTTTAGACCCATCCCATGGGAAAGGGCCAACCCTTGACACTATTAAAGATACTTGGCTAAGCTTGCAGACAAGAGACTGGCATAACTGTCCTCTTAAAAGCTCCTGCTACAGAGGGCCTCTGAAAGCCTCTGCAGTATAGACTGTCAAAGCAGATGCTGAGCCTGATGGCCAACTGATGGGCAGAGTGAATGGAATTTTATGTAAGAAGTGGGAAATAGTAAGAGCTGGAGGGGACGGGAAGTCCACAAGCAGAGCAACAGAACAAGATAATTTGAACACAGGGAACTTCCCAGAGACTCATACTCCAACCAAGGACTATTCGTGGAGATAACCTAGAACTCCTGCACAGATGTAGCCCATGGCAGTTCAGTGTCCAAGT